TGTAATCGGACTAAACAGCCTAATTAAAAGCAGAGATTTTCAGATTGGTTAAAAAACTAAAATGCAACTGTATATGTCATTTACAAGAAATAAGCTTTAAATATAAAGACATAGATAGGTTAGAGGTAAAGGGGCAAAAAAAAGCATAACATGTAAACTCTAATAATAAAACTGCTGATTTAGCTATATTAATGTCAGACAAAGTAAATTTTAAATCAAAACATATTATCAGAAATAAATGGGGATATTTTATAATGATAAAATTGTAAATTCATTAAGACACAGAACTTGTATATGCACCTAACGACAAAGTTTCAAAAGCTCATAAAACAAAACTGATACCACTAAATTTATAAACAAACCCACAATTACAGGTGATTTTAACACTCCTTTCTCACTAATTGATCAAACAGATTTAAAAATTAGTACTAAACTAGATTTTGAGCAACTGAATTAACGTAATTGACATTTTTTTTTTCTTATTGTAAGTCGTTTATTGTAGGATAATTTACAAATACCTTGCTGCCTTTAGTAATTCAAATGGACCAACAATTTCTTCTGCCAAAGACAGCAATACGCTAAAAACGAAATCAGCTCACTGAATTTTCCTTCTTCACTTCTTGTCTGAGGATGAAACTTGATTTTCATTAATCTAGAGCTGCAGTACTGGAGATAATTTCAATCAACTCTTTTGTGATGACAGTTTGGTGAGTGCAGTTGAACATCAGAGTCAATTTGTCAATCATCTCAGAAGCGTTCTTGCTGGTGTTGTCCACAGCCTTTATCCTAGCACTCTGCTCACTGGTGGAGGACTCCTTCAGAGAGTAGCAGATGATGTCGTGCAGATTGTATTCTTGGTAATTTTGTAGCACATCAGCATCAATCTCATCACAGATACTCTTGCTTTCAGCACTTGCAATGGTATTAAGAGAAAAGATGGGCTTTTCTTCTGTTTTATAGGAGATGACAGACCTGAATTGATTCAAGATGATAGAGCCTTCATCAAATTCATATCCAGAATTTCATAACTCAAGGGCAATGACTGACGCATCTCCAAAAGTAGGAGGCTTTCTTCCCACTTCTTTAAATGTCACCAGAAACTGGTCAGAATGAGTCCTGTAAAGTATGCTCTGGATTTTATCACCGGTGCCAACAAGCATAACTTCTTTTCCAGCTGCTATGAGCATAGCCACTTCATTTTTCATCTGTTTAGCAACAGAGGAATGGATAGCACCACAAAGTCCTCAATCTGAGGACACACCAATAAGGAGGTATTTCTTCTTGTAGTTAGGCGCCTTAATATCAACTTTTTCATACAGAGCCAGAGATCCTATTCCATACACTCGAGCCAGTTTCAGCTCCCTCTCAGCTTGGGCATATTTTGCTGCTGCTACCATTCTCATAGACTTAGTAATTTTCAGGATATTTTTGATTGACTTTAGTCGCCTGGTAATATCTTTCAAAGCTGCCATATTTTGAACTTGGATCCACTGTGGCTGCAAGGCCTAGGCAGACAGCCCAGAGATGTCCACCCAAGAGACCATGGTGGCATCAGCTCTGCTGAAGGTCGGTCAGACTCGTAATTGACATTTATAAGACACTATACCCAACAACTGCAGAATACACATTCTTTTCAATTTTGCTTGGAACATTCACCAAGATAGATCATATGCTGGGCCATAAACCAAATCTCAATAAATTTCAAAGGACTTATTATACAGAATAGGTTATGTATCTAGAACAGAATTAAATTAGAAATCAGTAACAGAAAGATATCTGGAAAATCCCCAAATATTTGGAAATCAAGCAACACATTTCGAAATAACTCATGGGTCAAAGAAGAAATCACAAGGAGAATTTTAAAAATATTTCAAACTAGGGCCGGCCTGGTGGCGCACTGCTACAGTGTGCCGCTTGGGAGTGTGGAGGCGCTCCCGCCGAGGGTTCGGATCCCACATACAGACCGGTTCCCGCTCACTGGCTGAGCGAGGTGCGGGCGCAACACCGAGGGTTGCGATCCCGTTGCCGGTCCTGGTCCGGTATGGGCGCGACACTGAGGGTTGCAATCCGTTGCTGGACGTGAAAAAAGACAAAAAGGAAAAAAAATAAAATAAAATATTTCAAACTAAATGGTAATAAAAACACAACATATCCAGAATTTGTGGTATGAAGCTAAAGCAGTATTTGGAGGCAATTTTAACTTTAAATGCTTGCTTTAGAAAAGAATAAAGGTTTAAAATTAATGATTTAAGCTTTCACTTTGGGAACTAGAAAAAGAAAAGCAAATTAAACGCAAGGTAAAAGGAAGGAAGTAATAAAAAATAACAGCAGAAATGAATGAAATTTTAAAAATTGGTAAAGAAAATCAACAAAGAGTTGGAAAGATTAATAAAATTGATGACCCGTAACTAAACCAATTGAGAAAAAAATAAAGAATCACAAATTACCACCAGCAGTAGGCTAGGCACAGTGCTAGGCAGGACTGTAACATTTCTGCAAATAGCTTCAAGCCTCCTCCCCAATTACCACCCCTCCTCTCTAGTCACTCCAGTTCCTGCCCCAGGAACCTCAGATCTTCACACAAGCAATTGAGGGATTAATGCATCACACAGCAGGGACCCTCCCAGACCTGCCCAAGATCACAGTGGCCTTGTCCCTTGAGGTTCTAAGACTCTACTGATTGTTAATTATTTTGACCATCACCACTGTGTCTAGGTGACCCAGCACCAATAAGACAGAAGTTGACATTTTATACGGTCTCATCTAGAAACAGGCAGTGAAGGAAAATACACTATAAATTTCTGCTAGGCAACATTAAAACTGGAAAAACAGTGATCTTAAACAAGTTTAAATATTTTTTCTGTATGTTTTTATCTTTTCTTTCAGAAATAACAAGAATTACAGTGAAGTGCCTAAAATAGATCCTAACATTAAACTGGAACTCAATTTTTTAGAATTTATTTTAATTGACACATTGCAATTGTACATATTTATGGGACACTATCTGATGTTTTGATATATATATGTTGCATAATAATCCAGTCAGGGTAGTTAGCATATCCACGCATTGATCATTTCTTTGTGGTGAAAACATTCAAAAGCCTCTCCTCTACTATGCAATATGCAAAACTTAACATAGTCACCCTACTGTGCAATAGAACACCAGAACTTATTCTTGCTATCTAGTAATTTTGTACCCATTGGCCAACGTCTCCCTGTTTTCCCTTCCCCACTCCCCTCCCCAATCCCAGGTAACCATTGTGAAACTCAATACTTTTTAAAAATTCATCTCAAAGGTATATTTTTTGAGGTTTTTAAAAATAACGTCCAATTACCAAATAGGTTAAGAGCACAGACTCTGAAGCCAGACTTCCTTGGTCAGCATTTCAGCTCTACACTTACTAGATATGTATTCATGTTACTGTGGACTAAATTACTAAATCTCTGTGTACCTCTGTTTCCTTAGCTGTAAAGTGGGGATAATAACAGTATTTACCTTGTAGGATTTTTATGAGGATTTAAAAAGCAACTATTTATAAAGAGCTTAGAATAGTGTTTGTCACATAGTAAATGCTACATAAGTGTCTGTTAGGTAAAAAGTAATATATACCTTAGATCACATTTACTGTCATCATCAACCTTTGATAAAGAAAAAGTTTCAAGTCTGATGTGCAAAGAAAATGTTTAAATAGAAATCTAAATTTTAAGGTTTGTTATCCAAAATTGCCATAAATCTCCCTGCCTTTCAAGTTTTACCTATTCCCCTCCTCATGACATTCCTCCACAAAGCCATCCACATGTAAAAGTGGGTGCCTTGGATTGTTATGTTGACTAATTGTTCTTAACTCTTCTCTCATCAGCCAGAGAACAAGAAAAGCAAGATTGAGGCCTCTGCTATGAAACTCCCAGGTAATAAAGTTAATAGCACTGTTTGTGATTACCTAGAGCAAAGGGAAGGTGAGCAGACACGAGTATTTTCTCAGTGCTGATGCTCCAGAGCACAAAGGCACCCCATTTTCCATGGTGAGGGTTTTAGCAAGAACTGTGCCCATATCTTGTTACATAAATGACTGCTACCAAGCCTTCCAACCTTGTCTAGGTTACTCAACCTCACTCTTTGCCTCTGAGCCCTCATCTGTAAACTGAGCATTAATAGACTATGCTGTAAAATTTAATGAGTCAATAAAGTGCCTGCACATTATGATATAGCAAGGATACCATAAATGTAAGCAATTATTATTTTGCGGGAATAGATCTTTTTAGTTTGGGCATTGCTTTTCCCTTAAGGGTTATTTCAAATAACTACATGACTCAGAAAATGGGCCAGCAGAGAGTTGTTTGCTGGTTGGAAACAGAGGGGAGGGAGGCGAATGAAGGAGAAGGGGAGGGACAGAGGGAGAAGCTGACAACTGCGCAGAAGGGCAGAGTCTGTTTCAAAGCCCCCAGAAGAAACTTTAGCATGGTAATCAGCGCAGAAAACCCAGTGGTCGCAGCTTCCGCACAAAGCAGCTCACATCTGAGGCTTCCAAAACCAGCAGGGCCCCAGAGTCCAGCGCAGGACACTTTCCGACCCGGGAGGAGTCAGAACGGGGCCTCAGCACAGCTTCTACTCCACTGAATGCCACCAGGGTTGCCTTGACGGCCTCCACGCTCCCAGAGACGCGGTTGCCCTGTGAGGTCTGTCTCCTGACTGCGCGGCACCGGCAGCCGTCCCGAGGGGCAGCTTGTCTTCCGGCCGGTCACGCGAGTGGCCAGAGACCGACGCCAAAGCCGCCAGCGCGCGGAGAATCATCAGCACCCAACCCCGGGACCTCGGGGCGTGGCGCGCGCGGAGGCCCCACTCAGCCATCCCCATTGGCTGAGCCCGCCCCGGGGGTGACGGAGTCAGCGCGCAGCAGTCCGGGCTCCCGCAGCGCCGCCCGGACGCGGGTCCACGGCGAGGAGAGGCACAGGTGGGTGAGGAGCCAGCGCCTGAGCCGGGGAAGCCCCGTCTGGGGGCCATGGGGGAACAGGTGAGGCTGCCGCTCGGAGAGCCCTGCCGAGAAGGTGAGTGTCTGCCCCGAGCCGGGGGACCTGGCACCTGGGTGGGGAAGACACCGGGTGGGCGGTCCCCGGTTACTTGTGGGGACGAGAAAGGGATGTACGGACTCAACGCAGTCGTTCGTGTAATGAACCATTCGTTCGTTCATTCATTCAGCCGTCCAGCCGGTCGGTCAACAAATATTTATGGGTGCCTGCGATATTCCAGGCTCAGGGAAAGCCTGAGTCGAACAGGACAGATGAGACTCCCCGTCTATCCGGGAGGCCAACCCATGTAAATGACAGAGTGTGACGGGGAAAGTCAGGATGCGATGGGAAGACTCCCAAGCCTCGTGTTTCCCCTGACTCAGACTCACTCAGTGTCGGCCACCGACGTCATCCGGTGAGAGAGGGCGTGCCGGGGACCCGTGAGAGCCCGGGGCTGTGCCCTGCGCTGGCTCCGTGAGGGGCAGACACCGTGAGAAGTAGGGCTCTCCGGAGGGCGCGGACGAGTCTGGGCCACTCACGTCCCTCCTCTTCCTTTGAGATGAAAACGTCTCCAGCCTGCTAGCCTCGCGTCTTACTCGCTGTGCAGTCACTTCTTGGCTGCCTAAGGGGACAGCCGGACGGGAGAGGAAACGGGGAACTGGGCGCACTCGTTTGCAGGTTCTTCTTTCTCGTTGCGTGCTGGGCTGGGATTTCAGCCCCACCTGAGCCCTGCAAAATCGCTGGGCGCGGCCCCTTGTCCTTCGCCAGGTGTTCACGACACTGGCAGGCTTTCTACAGTCTCAATACAGGAGGCATGTGTGAGTCCTGGTAAAGTAGGGATCGGGGTGGGGGAGCGACGGGAAGGGTGGATATCAAATGAAATGATGGTTTTCACAGTCGAAAGGAAAAGTCGATTGTTTTTTTTTTTTTTAAGATGATCCGATTAGAGGATCTTAACCTTTGACTTGATGTTGTCAACACCACGCTCTCCCAAGTGAGCCACGGGCCTGCCCTGAAAAGTCAATTTTTAATTTACCTGTTAGTGACATAAAAAGAAGGGAGCAGTGAGCTGCACTGTAAGAACTACTGTATATACACCTTCGCAAAGTTGCTGGCAAATTCCCCGGTTTCCTCTCCTCTTGTCTCTTCCAACTTACTCCTAGATGGGAGCAGTAAAAAAAGCAGTGAACTTGTCACAACTATGCCCTCAAAAGAGAGAAGGGACACAGAAAAAGAGAAAATGCCTGAACACTTCATAGACTACTCAAAAACTGAGATTTTGGAGGTGGTTACTAAGACAGCTGTAGCTAGAATTATTTCCTAGAAAGGCAGGTTGTGTGCACTTTTTCTAAATTCTTAAACCAGTAAATCAGACTTTTACTAATACTCCCACCCTGTTTACCCAAGGATCTGTAAGTAAGAAGGATGTGTTAATTATACCCACTTTGTTTGAACTTCTGGATCCTGCTTTGTTCATGCACTTAGTTCCAACAAGAAAACATTCAAGCTCAATGTTTAATACCTGTGATTAATTATGGTAATTAATTGTGTGGAAAGCTGGTGGGAAAGACTTGAGAGAAATCACAATCCACTTTATCAGATTAGGCTTTGACATCAGTCTTCTCAGCTGTAATTTAGACTTCTTGAGCTTTTCTCCATCTATAAAATGAAAGCAATTCTTATAGTTTACAGTTGTGAAGAGTAAGTGCAAGTGGGATTATAGGAAGCACACAGTTCAGCGCCTGACGTGAAGTAAACAAAGGCTCAGCTTTTCATTTATTCAAAAACAAGAGTCCCATGTGCTAAGCACTGGCCTAGGTGCTAGGACAGAGGGATTTGCAAGCCAGTCGGGTCCTAGACTCTAGGACTAGGCCCCTGCTCTGATGCAGCTCTCTCTCCAGACGGCAAATAATATGCAAGAAACAAATTAATTTTTAAAAGGTCATTACAATACTGGTGTCATGGCTATTGAAAGTATTGGGGATGTCTTAATTGGGTACTGCAAAAAGGCCCCTTAGAGAACATGATATTCTAGCTGAGACCCAAGTGACAAGGAGTCCAACATGAGATCTGAGGATAGAGCACTCCAATTGGATTTCCATGAAGAAAAAGTTAATCCCATATTTTGTTTTTGACTTTCAAAACCATGGATGCTTCAAAAGACCTTCTCATCCAAAATTGTCTCAAAAAAAAATTTAAACACATATGAAGGGGTTTTTTTAGATTTTTAATATTATGTCATGTATTCTATAGATCTCAATTTGAGTCCAACAGCCAACAGAGCTTTATTAATATATGACACCATGAAAATATAATGTAAGAACTATAGCTATCACCTGTGAAATATAGCTATTTGCACCAACTACATGAAAACTATGTGCCAGGGACTGTAGAGGGTTATGAAAGAAACAAAGGACAGAAAGACTGCACTGCAAGGACAAACATATATTCCAGTATATCTTCTTAAGGGTTCTAACCTGGTTTGGGGCTGGGGAGAGGAAGCTGGAGACGGGGAGGAATCTAGTGATTTTCAAAGTTGATGGAGTGGGCCACTTTTCCTGGCTGCAGCCAGCCAACAGGGAGAAAAATGATTCAGATGGTATTTAGAGCTGATTCAGTCTGTCTTCATGGACAGACTATCCTTGGTTTTGAGAGGAGGAAATTAAGCAATTGCAACTCTTTGAGAAGAGGTTGTCTCTCTCTTGTACTGTTAGGACATGTCCTATATTCATGTATATAATATTCTTAAATTTTCAAAACAGGCTCACTTAAAACATATCTGTTTATCCTCACACATAATTAAATTCTGTGAGTTTATTAGGTAGTCATATTCATTTTACAGATACAGAAACTGAAGCCCAGAGAATTAAATATTGTTTCATAATTAGTGATCAAACCAAACACAAAATTGTTTGGGCCTTTGTTTTTCCTGTAGGTACATGCAATGGACTGAATTGTTGTGTCCCCCCAAAATTCATGTATTGAAGCCTTAATCCCAATGGTGGGGGGACCTGTGGGAGGTAATTAGGTCATAAGAATGGAGTCCTTATGAATGGGATTAGTGACTTTAGAAGAAAGAGGCCAGAGAGCTAGCTACCTCTCTCTCCACCATGTGAAAACACAACAAGAAGAGGGTTGTCACCAAGAACCCAACCCTGCTGGCACCTGATCTCAGACTTCCAGCCTCCAGGACTGTGAGAAGTAAATGTTTGTTGTTTAAACCACCCTGTTAATGGTATTTTGTTTTAGCAGCCACTGCCTATATTCATTCTATGGCCTCTTGGATGCACTGATATACATTTTAATGATTCTGTGATTTACTCTTTAAAAACATCCATATCATAGACATTTCTCAAAATCCCACCAGCTGCGGACCAGCCCGTGGCTCACTCGGGAGAGTGCGGTGCTGATAACACCAAGACCGCGGGTTCGGATCCCATATAGGGATGGCCGGTTGGCTCACTGGGTGAGCGTGGTGCTGACAACACCAAGTCAAGGGTTAAGATCCCCTTACCGGTCATCTTTTTAAAAAAAAAAAAAAAATCCCACCAGGTAAACATAACTTTTATTATCAGGACAAGGTGCATTTTCTGTGTAAGATACAGCTGCTTGTCTATTACACCAAGAAAGATTTTCTCCAGATTTTTACAAAAAAATTAAAAACCCAGGTTGTTTTTCCAGCCTTCTGTAGATTTTTTTAAGGGCTAAAATTCAAAGTACCTCAAGGTAATAAAAATTTTCCACTGAAGTTTGTTCTGAAAATGATATGAAATTAATTGTCAAGTCTAATATTTAATATGAACCATACATGATTTTTTTTTTTTTAAAAAAACCTTGATATAAATGCAAGCTTATTGCAGTATCATTCCTTAGGTTCCTTTCCTGCATCTCCATTCTTTATACTTGAATATCTTGTTTAGGATACAGGTTTTTTTTTTGTTTTTTTTTTTTCCTTTTTGTCTTTTTTCGTGACCGGCAACGGATCGCAACCTTCAGTGTCGCGCCCGTACTGGACCGGGACCGGCAATGTGATTGCAACCCTCGGTGTTGCTCCCGCACCTCGCTCAGCCAGTGAGCGGCCGGTCTGTATGTGGGATCCGAACCCTCAGCGGGAGCGTCGCTGCGCTTCCCAAGCGGCGCACTGTAGCAGTGCGCCACTGGGCCGGCCCAGGATACAGGTTTTTAACTTTCTTAAAAAACCAACAGTATTTTCTCAATTTTATTTTGATTAATTGAAATAATGGGCTTCTTACGCAGCCATACCAGAGTTTGTAAGTAGATATGTCTACTATAAATTGATATTCAAATTTGCTCCAAGTTATTTCTCATTCCTATTCTGCTCCCTGTATTCCTGTTTGTTTTTTCTCTCACTAAAGTTGTCAGCTCCATGAAAACAAAGACCTGTCCTTTTGCCTGTGGTGTTGACCATTATCTCACCAGTTCTTAGAACAGGGCCTGGCGCCCAGAAAGTGCTCAGTAAGAATGGGCTAAGTGTTGAATAAATGAATTATATATGGATATACAATGTTGTTATAAAGCCATAATTAAGCTGTCCAAGGAAGTTGGTTTGATTGGGAATATTAAATAGGGTGATACGATGGAAAGTGACTGACAAGTGCCTTTAACTTGGGAAGGGAGAGAAGGCCTCTAAGGAGGTGAGGTTTTAAGGGAGAGCTCAGTGCCCTCACTTAAATGAGAAGGAGCTAGCTACTCCAGCCAGTGCTCTGTAATAGGCTAAGTAACAGCTATTTTTTAAAAAGCTTTAAGGTGAGAAGCAACTTAACCTGTGAAAGGAACAGAAGAAAAAACAGTAGCAGAGAATAATGTTAGATAGCTGGAGGCAGGATTCTGCAGGGCCTTGTAGAGTGTGGTGGGGATTTGGGATTTTTACTCAATGAGAAGGGAAGCCATTGTAGGATTTTGGAAAGAGGAATAACAAGATGGAGCCTGCTTTTCTAAAGGCTCGTTTCACCTGATCTTGCCCATATGTACTCTTTAACCACATCTCGTGCCATCTCCCTCTGTCACCCCAGCCTGGCTAGCTGATCACAGTTCCTACAGCTCCTCAGCACATTCCCAGCTCAGGATTTTAGGTTTTACGTTAGCCAAGAGGCTGTTCTGTTTAATCCTGTTTTAAAAATATATTCCTTTATGCTGCTTTTATGGCTTTCCATGGCACTCGTAACATATAGTTGTTTGTTCATTTGTTTATTCTCTCTCCCCCACTAGAATATGAAAGCAGGGATTTTGTTGTATTAATTGTTGTATCCCCAGCTTCTAGACAAAGCCAGACAGATAGTAGACACTCAATAAACATTTGCTGAATAATCTAATGGAAAGATGGCTAGTGTTGTTTCAGAAATGGGTGATAGGGAGAGTAATAGGATATGATGTCAGAGATGAGCAAATTTCAGAGACGGAGAGCTTTAAAGATCAAGGTTAGTTAGGAGTTGAGGTTTGGTTATAATTGAGGGCGTAACATAGTCTGATTTGCACTGGCTGATGTTTAGAAAATAAATTGTAGTGGACATAAAGAGATTTCATTCAGTCTTTCCCATGCCAATATGAATAGGCAAGTGCATCACATATCCTTGCTTACATGTCTGTAGGTCAGCAGAAGTTTGACTGATGTAGCCTGCGTTCACCTGCTGTCTCTGCTTCAGGCTACACATCCACTGGGTTTGGCTTCTTCTTGTGGGAAGAGCTCAGATCTGCCCCATGTGTTTTCATTCCGGGGCTCAGGGTGAAGGAGTAGCTGCTCCTCGGGGAATTACAGAGGTGCCAGAAAGTAAACCCAACTACATCAGCATATGTGAAACCTCTCTTCATATCACCTCTGCCGATGTCCCATTAGCCACCAAGTCACTTCCGGTCCAACATTTGGGAAAAAATATTCTGCCCATATTGGCAATGATAAGGGACTCAATATTTGCTGAATAATAATCCAAACCATCACAGTAGAATGGATGATGAGACAATGATTTTCTCAAACTGGAAATATCTTGCAGTGATGAAAAGCATAGTTTTATGCAATCACTGACTTTCTGGAACCCACATATTCTATTCCATGTAGTAAGCTGGACAATTTAAATAATTATTCTCCATAGGCAAATAATACATGAAAAATCATTTAAAGAATTTCATCTTTGTATACACATTAATAATATTTTTCAACCATCTTTATTTGTACTTGATGTTTTTATTTTTCTAAAGTAGAAAGAATACTGACCTGGAAATTGGGTTACCTGGCCCTGATTTTGGCAGTTATATAACTTTAGCCAGTCAATATCTTGACATCAGTTTCTTTAAAATGTCTTCTAGCTATCAGTGCCTATGAGTCCAGAATTTGTCCATCGGCAATGTCTATGAGCCACCAGGATTGCAGGCAACTCTGGGAACAAAGATAGATTATGACCAAACCAAAAAATTAAAGAAGACATTTTTAGAATCATCGAATCAAACTCCCTCATTTTAAAGATGAGGAAACTGAAACTAAAGAAGGATTACTCAACTTGCCCATGATCATAGATAGTAGTCAGGCTTTAGGTGGGGAAAGGTATATAATCCTAAAGAACATTTAACTTTGTTTTTAAATTTTAAAGGAGTATGTGTAAACTATTACACCTGTACATAGAAGATAAGTATTAAGCTACTTCATACCCACTAACCCACCACTTCCTACATCCCTCCCTCCTTCAGTCATATCTGGCATAGGCTCCCTCCCTAACATGCTTCCAAAACATGAAACAATTTAAGTTCTAAGGTCAATAACCAGACAAGATTTTTATTATTTTTCCTGCCATAAAACTTGCAGCATTCATATCTGCCACTCACAGTGAGAACTTGCAAAGTGCAACACAGATTATTTGCTCTCTCTTATCAGCCTCTGCCTCCATATCCCCTAAAATGTCGGAAACATTTTGCTATCAGCAGCTTAAAAGGAATATTGTTTCATTGGAATGAGATCCACCCACACTGATTTCAGAGATGAAATTTTGGAATGGTTATGTTAACTATATAGTAAATGACATGAAGGCAGCTGTGGAATTCACTGGCAAGCCAAGTCAGATGTTTTCTCAGGAATGAATATAATAAAAATTCTCACTAATAAAAATATACACAATTTTCATTCTTGAGGTTTAGATAAGATAAAACGGGCATGAAACAAGATCACTAAGGGCTAGCTTACATAAAAATTTACAGTAGTTCTTACTAAAACAACCTGCCTGAAAATATTATAGAATATCCCTGAAGTCATGTAATTCTCCTTGGAATATTTAGAAGTTTTGACTCAGAATTTATTCTGTATCTCTGAAACAAAGTTGGCTCAATTTCACATTACAGAGATAAAAGAATTACTAGTCATGAAAACCTTGAATTTAATTATTTTACTGTTTTCTAGACCTGAACTTTATGGTTGTTTCTTAACTTTGTGTGTGACAAAATTCAGATGACTTCCTAATGCTTTGCATAGATCCACTTATGGAAGTTTTGTGGCCAAGACATCATTTGGTCAGATTGCCTTTTGTTCTTGTTCATATGCCTTCTTAAGACTTTTGAGGTGTAAAACTAATTTTTTAATTGAAATCCGAAATTGTACTTGATTAATTTTCTTTTGACCTTTTTTGTTTAGGGTAATTCACATTGGGAGAATTTGCCTTTTTTAAAGGGAAAAAAAAATGAGAAGACAGAACATCAAGTCATAATGTCACTTTGTTGGTAGCTTTTCAAGTGGCAAACAGATTATAAAAACTTCTTATATAGTATAAAATGTTTTTATTTTGTATTTCAGTGTTTAGCTTCAAAATTCCAAAGCACTTATAACAATGGATCTGGTTCAGTGGATTTACATGCCTATTTGGATGTTATTCTTTAAAAAGCTACTGAGGGGCCGGCCCGGTGGCGCACTAGATAGTGCGCCGCTTGGGAAGTCCGGCGGCGCTCCCGTCCGAGGGTTCGGATCCCATAGACAGACCGGTTCCTGCTCACTGGCTGAGCGAGGCGCGGGAGCAACACCGAGGCTTGCGATCCCGTTACCGGTCCCTGGTCCGGTACGGGGGCAACACTGAGGGTTGCGTTCCGTTGCCGGACACGGAAAAAGACAAAAGACAAAAATAAAAAAATAAAAAAAAAATAAAAAGCCTACTGAGGTTTAATTCATTTTTCTATTAGATTCAATTTTATTTACAAGAAGGTGGATTCGTAGACCTGAAAAATCATCTTCTTCAGGGAAAGTGATACAGAATACTAAACCCACTTTTAAACGTGTTTTCTGAAATGCACAATTCATACCCCACCAAATGGGTTAACTAAATTTCCTGTAACGTGGTCATTTCTAGACTGATGGGGTTGTCATTCCCTTTTCCTACATTGAGGCATCACAAACCCTGCTTTCCAGGAGACAGGCTGATAATGTGAAGGAGTGAAGTGGTCGTGGGGAACCGTGATGTATTGTTGAGCACAAGCCAGGTCTAAACAGCTACTCGCTGCTCCAACAGGTTGCTGTTTTGCTAGAACAAAGACCCACGTATTGCCACATCTTCCAATTTATAAGAACAGTCCAGACAAAAACTAAACAATTTTAAATCATTTTTAAGAACCTGGGTAAACCAAATTGAAAATGTCTGTAGGCCTGTGGACCACCTATTAGGGACTTCCCTGCATGCAGTGAAAGTGTTTGAGTACCATTCACTCAAGTCTCTGTTTCTTGCATTAATACCTCTCTCCTTCATTCTTGACATTTTCCTCTTTCCAGGCTATGTATTGTCTCTGATGTGTCCGAACTCCTCCCAGGCTTGGTGTGAGATCACAAATGTGTCGCAGCTGCTGGCTTCTCCTGTCATCTACAAGAACCTGAATTCTAGCATAACCAACTTGAGCATTTCAGCAAATGTAGAAAACAAATACAGTCTTTATGTGGGCTTGGGACTGGCAGTGAGTTCCAGTATTTTTATTGGCTCCAGCTTCATACTGAAAAAAAAGGGACTCTTACAACTGGCCAACAAGGGCGTTACTAGAGCTGGTAAGAAACACAAGCAACCAATGAGTTCAAGTTTCTAACTGCAGAAATCATCTTATTGTAAGACCACAGTGCTACAGTCATCATAATGTCTGTCTCTCTTTGTCTCAGCTTTTATCTCCTTGATTGAGCCAGCTGTGTCCCTCACGTCTCTGACCCACATCAAACGGCCCCTTCTACCTCTCCAGCTTCCTCTTGTGCTACTCTCCCTGTCACCTACTTTTTCCTGGGATAGAACAAGTTCTTTTCCACCCCAAGGTCTTTTCCCTTTGCCTGGAACTCTCTTCTACCTGCTGTTTATTCAACTGACTCATTCTTTAGTCCTCAGCTTAAATATCTCACCCCAGAAAGGCCTCTCGGTTCAGGTCTTCCCCAACCCCATCCCCCGTTTTTCTCTATCATTGCACTAACAGACTCCTTCATTTTACCTAGAATAATTTGTAGTTGTACATTTATTGCTTGTTTACTTGTTGTCAATAGGTTTATTTGTTTATTGATAGTAGATCCACAAGAGCAGGAATCTTCCTAAGCACAGTGTTTGGCACCCAATAAATATTTATTAAATCAATAAATGGATAGTAATAGAATTAGGCTACTATTTATAGTGACATTTCAGATGCTGAGTAGCTCTGCCTGACTGTTCTTCATTAACCATGAATTTTCTATTCATTTTCATCAAGTATAATATCATTAAAAAACCTAAATATTTTCCTAAAGTCCATATGGAAAAATAAATGACTACAAATTGCACAAACAAGTATATAGAAGAATCTATTGAGGGAAGATTTGCACTCTCAGAAATTAAAACTATATTGCTGTATTAACTAAAACAACTTGGTACTGGCATTAAAACAGACAAAATAATAAAAGGTACTGAAACCATACAAGTGGACCCAAGTATATATAACAATTTAACATGTGATTTTTTTTAAGTGGCATTTCAAATCAGTTAGAAAAAGGATAAATTATCCAATTAAAAGTATTGAGACAATTAGAAAAAAATAGAGGAGAAAAATGTGAGTTCTACTTTACATAATTCAGCAAAATAGATTACAGGCAGTTTAGAGTTAAATATAAAATGAAATAATTTTATAAAAAACTAAAAGAAGGTCTTTGTGAGGGTAAAGGTAAAGGAACAATCTACATAAAGGAAGAAATTGTCTGGATTGACCAAAAAAAAAAAAAGAATACAGAAACGCCTTATCCAAAACTAAAAAGTAAATGATGTATTTGGGGAAAAAATTATGAAATATATGACAAAGGGTAGTTAGGTTTTATAATATATAAAGAGTGGCTACAGTCAATAATAATAATAATAGTACCCTAACAGAAAATAGGCAAAATGCATAAACGAGAAACTCACAAAATAAGAAATGCAAATGGGCCAATAAACATACATAAGTAAATGTTATTTTCACTAGTAACCAGAGATACAAACTATATAATAATAATACATATACTATTCAGTATGATAATGTGATTCCAGTTTAGTCATTTGAAAATTTTGTAAGGAGAAAATCCTAAATAAACATATTTAACTACTTTGCAAGATAATCTTCATGTCTTACATATCCTGTTCAATTTAATTATAGCAAAAAAGTCTAGGTCAAATTCAGGGGGTTAAGTACATTAAAATTGATGAGAAAATTCCATTTTCTAAAGCAACCATCACCATGACTCAAGGTCACAGATTTACAGTAGTGGGAAGATAACTCTTTGAGTACCCTAGGAGAGCTTATTTTCTTTTCCAGGAGACTAGAAAGAAATTTAATTTCATTAGGCCAGAGTAGAGAATAAGTAGCATCCGTCTGTCTAATGCTTATTATTCTCTGATTGACTAATCCAAAATCTCAAAAGCTCATATGTCAGCCACCTTCTTCACTTTAAAGTCTTCATTAAGTACCAATGTAATTTACAATTTATAGTTTTCTGTTTACTTAACCATGGCTGAAACAAAGTATTCAGGGTTTGTAATATTCTATGTCCATACCTCTGACTGACTGAAATACAAATAACCTAACGTTAAATAAAATTTTCTACAAATAAATAAATTTACTTTCTGTAGAAATCAAAGGTGACATAATAGAAAGGTTTACAAGATCTTTGGAAATGACCAACTAAATAAGTTAAAAGACTTTAGGCTTACTGTCTTGACCTTAAACCTTGCCTTTTCCAGCCGTAACCTAGTACCTTTCCTAGAAGTCAATTCTTCAAACCTTCTTCCTCCAATTTAGAACTTAATTTTGATTTCTGTTATTTTCCTAGGACAAGGTGGACATTCTTACCTCAAGGAATGGCTTTGGTGGGCAGGATTGCTGTCAAGTAAGTTCTTAATACTGAGAGTGTGTTTTCTTATAAAATTATAAATAGATTACATGGAATTTTTCAAAATCTATTAGTTTATTTTCCTGGCAAGGATGGAATTTAAGTCTAAAAATGTGTGTATGGGTGTAACATATTGCCTTATATATAATAATATATTCACATAAATTATTTTTTACTCTTCCCTCCTCCCACCCCTTGTGTCTCAATACTGTCCTGGAATACAGGGGAAAAAATTGACATTTGAAACATTACATTTTATCACAAATTTCTTTCTTGTATTTTCTTCCCCATAACAATTGAAAAAAGTGCATTCCTCCCATGTTTTCCCAGCTCCTGATTTGAATCTGTGACTATTGTAGCTACATATTTTCTCAGGAATGGGTATATTTTCCTTGCCAGGACCAAAACATGGGTAAGTTAAAGGATTCTCTGCTGCTTGACACAACAGATGGAGAGAAGATGAAGGCTGTCAGCACTCTCCTCCTTCCCAGACTTGCTTGGAGAATTAAATGATACTTTGTAGGATATGAAAGCCCTTTCTAAATGTTAATGTGCTGTCCAGATGGAAGGCAGCGTTATTCCCCTCAGCCACTTTCGCTGATTTTGGTATCCCTTTTAACTTCTCTGAACTTTCTTAAATCCCAAGCCTTGAAACTTCCAAATAAATTGTACTTTCACACTACTTGCAAATCATTTCCCTCTGCAGCCAGACGTCTTAGAGCTTCCCTGTGTTTTCCAAACCAAGTAACACATTTCAGTATTTGTGAGATCCTTTTGTAGGAGGGAACTAGGTACCTTTTCTTTAATAAATGGTGAAATCTAAAAGGATGATGAATAAAAATAATTTAAAATTTCACAGCCCTTTCAGTTTTCCAGGTGCTTTTACATTAATTTTCTTAAAGTTGACAAGGACTATACTAGGAAGGTTCCACATAGAAATTTGGATGATTGACTTTTTCTGTATTTTTCTCTTACTTGCATCTCCCCACACTCTACTCACATTTTACAATGAAAATAGAAGGAGAATATTATAGGGCTACATTTACAATTTTATCCTCACCAAATAAAGTTGATGCCAGTACTGAAGAGAGAAGAGCATTTATTAGAGATTTTATGTAGTGACAAACATAATCATGGAGTCAATGTTTTCCTGGAAAGTGTCTATGAAGATAAAAATATAAATAATATGAAGTATTCAAGGAAATCTTAGTATTCTGAGAAAACTGCCATGGCTCTTTTTATGAGAGCAGTCTCCTAGTTATTCTGTTCTGTAAGTTTAGATTTGTTTTATGGTTTGCTGATGCTGGGTACTCCTGCAGATTAGGAGAAGGGGGTGTAGCATAGCAGCCAAAGAAACAGCAAAAGAAAAGGTATGCTGGTATTCTTTTTTTCTCTCTACAATAAGTAGTTTGCTTGGCATAGTTTTTCAGTATGAAATACTACGTTCTGTGGGCAAGTGTCCAATTGAGATCTGTGAGAATAATCTGGCCCCAATACAAGAGCCCAGCTCTTGGCAGGAGTTCCCTCACTCTGCAAGTTATTTGCATCACACTACCTCATAGAAGTCTAGAGTTCCCCAGATTAAGAAAAAGATTATGTTCGGTAGCACATTTTAAAACAGCAGCTTGGATCTCCTTGAGCTGCTGAGATACTGACTCATAGATCATCTGCCATTCAGAGATGCTGGACTTCATGGGCCTGGGGTAGGCATTTCTGGCTATCCCCTACCTACACACCAGATCTCTACAAAGCACTCTAATTTTACAAGTTGTTTTTTGTTTTGTTTTGTTGTTAATTTGTAAAACAGTAAGTATTCTTGAACAAATGGAATAATTCTCTGATTACTTCAAAACTACCTCTACTAGACTTCATCAGAGTGACCACATCTGTTGTTGGTGCTCAGGTATCTAAGATCTTGATTGAAAGTCATTTAAAATGTGTATACATCTGTCACCATTTTTAGCGTTAGTTGAGTTTGTATCACCAGATAATTACAGTTTATCTGCATTCTTTTTTTTTTTTTTTCTTTTTGTCTTTTTTTCCGTGTCCGGCAACGGATCGCAACCCTCAGTGTTGCCCCCGTACCGGACCGGGGACCGGCGACGGGATCGCAAGCCTCGGCGTTGCTCCCGCGCCTCGCTCAGCCAGTGAGCGGGAGCCGGTCTGTACGTGGGATCCGAACCCTCGGACAGGAGCGCTGCCGCGCTTCCCAAGCGGCGCACTATCCAGTGCGCCACCGGGCCGGCCCTATCTGCATTCTTTAATACCAATCCTCTCCCACCCTTCATGAAGAAAAGTTAAATTATTCCTTTTAGCTGAATCTTTCACTGTCTTTGGGATAAAAGTACACTGCTTTGTAAGGATCATTTGTTTTTCTCTTCTAGCAATTAAGCCCATCTTTTATGTTATTGTTTTATTTTTTATTTATTTATTTATTTTTGCAGCTAGCTGGTAAAGGGATTGAACCCTGGACCTTGGTGTTACCAGCGCCACGCTGTAACCAACTGAGCCAACCTGCCAGCCAGCCCCTCTTTTCTATTAATATTTCTGCTTGCTTTCTAGTGGGAGCAGGAGAGGTTGCAAATTTTGCGGCTTATGCTTTTGTACCTGCCACCTTGGTCACCCCACTGGGCGCTCTGAGTGTTCTCATAAGGTATGTGAGCAATAAGGAACTTGGCTTCTGTAGGTATTTTAATACCATGATAAACTTAAACCACAAGAAACAAATTGCTGAGGATATCTTAAAACAAAACCAAAAAAAGTCTAGACCACCCTAGGCTCTGAAAGCCTGGAAGACCAGCAATTATTTCTGGGACCTCTGAGAAGCTTTGGACAAGTCACTTGACCTCAGTTTCTTCATTTGTAAAATAAAAATTTTTTCTTGCCTAAAAAAAAATCACAGAAATAATTTGAGAAGACTACAAAATAAATAGCAGTTGAAATAGGAAATCAATCTTCGTATTACCTATGGCAAAGTGAGCTTGGTTTCCTGCTAATATAAAGTAATTGTGTGTTATATTTGTGAAGATTCAGTGAAAGCTAACAGATTTCTTTTTAATCTCTCACCTAAAGAAATTTCCAGAGTCCTTTTAATTCTTGCTGTTGTCATAGTGGTTAATGACCACAGTTATCAGAGGACATTAGAAAGCATAGTGTTTGGGTTAAATTTCAACTTTCATTAAAGTCTTGCATTGTCTGCTAGATACTTATGTTTGGAGATTGCACAGTTTCCTTTGGTACTGAAAACAGGAATAGTTTTCCTATCTCAGTGAATGTGGGTCTAATTTTCTGAGTTGGTCTTTATTATCCCAAGTTAATGTGTTCAGTGAGCCCATGAACTATTATTTTGTAGCTAAGCTGCTGTTTCATTGTCTTTTTCATCCTCTTTCTTTTCCATTCATTATCAACCTCTAGTAGAAAGCTTATGGTTGAGCCTACCCACTTCTTTTCATCTTTTTTATAGACTGGTATGAGAATTAAATGAGGTAATACAAATAAAGCACTTGGAACACTTGTCTATGCAATGAATTAATAGTGATGTTTTCACTGAGGCTGCAGTCCTACAAGTGGCCACATGAGGGCAGCTCTAGGAAAGCACCTGGTAATTGATTATAGTCTTGGGGGCAAAGGGACACTGATAATTATGATCCTGGAAATGCCAGAGGCTGGTGTGCAGAAGTGGCAGCAGGCATACTAGTGGAGCAGCAGGATGGCAGACTCTGGTGTCCATGGTAGTGCCAATCTGGAGCTTCCTGAGGCCACAACAACTGAAGCATTGGGAGCATCAGATAAGTGAAAGTATCAGCACACCGCAAGTAGTAAGGAAGTACTTCAATATTTTGACAATCTACATGATAGTACTGGTGTGTTCTAGCTACATATCAGTGATGAGCAGAGGAATTCTTTTTGTATATATCTCTTTGAAACTTTCATGGGTACACAAATGAGGGTACTTTGAAAAGTTCATGGAAAAAATAAAATTAAAAGAAATATGAATCTTTCCATGAACTTTTTGAAGACCCCTCATATTCTAAATGTATCATGCCAATAAGATATAAAAGATCTCCCATTGTGCGTGGCTTTACAGAAGAAGATGGAGACAATGAATTGAGCGGGACCTCTTAGAAGGTCATGGGAAGATTACAGAGGTAGGGAATGTCTATTACAGTTCTTCAGAAAGAAAAGCAGCAAAGCAGATTTGATCATTTCTGAGTTTATACTAATGTAGGTTTTTCAGTGTACATTGCATATTCAAGTCAATTCATTGAGATACGGAGTGGCTTGTACCATGGTGGGACTTGTGAGCTGCTGTGGAATCAAAAGGTAATTGAACCACAGTGATTTTATTTTTTCTCTCCCAACAGTGCAATACTGTCTTCCTATTTTTTAAATGAGCACTTGAACATTCATGGGAAAATAGGCTGCATATTAAGTATATTGGGGTCAACTGTGATGGTTATCCATGCCCCGCAAGAAGAGGAAGTCACTTCTTTGCATGAAATGGAAATGAAATTGAGAGATCCAGGTCTGTTTTTCAACCTAAATGAATACTTACTCAGATTCTGTTCCACTTTCTGTCCTCACCAAATGACATCTGTAATAATATTGTAATAGGCTTTCTAAAAGCCTAGATGTGAGTTGTAAGAGACAGTAAGTAAGGTTTGATTATTATAAGTCTTCTGAAAAGGCAACAGAATTATTTTTATATTCATGCTTCCCCTCTACACAATGAAAGGGAGAGATGGGAATAGTAGAGGCAAAAGATTTATATTTAAACTCAAATCTTTGCCACTTTCTCCCTCTGAAAACAAAAAGTCAATCTGACAATACCTGCCCTACCTCATAGTCTTATTGGTGAGGTTTAAATGATGATATGTTTGCAAAAGTCCTTTGTAAAATATTGAGAAGTATATAATAGAATGTTAGTTTTTAACTTATTCTCACTTCTATTTCTAAAACTCCTCTTAAACTCAGGTCTAACAGGATTTCGGAAAGGCATAACCCTGTTAGCATTTTCTGAAGTCTAATTCTTTTCTCTTCCTAACAGGATTTATTTCCTTTGCTGTGATCATAACTGTGATCTCCTTGGTGCTGATTTTCATTGTGGCTCCCAAGAAAGGACAGACCAACATACTGGTGTACATTTCAATCTGTTCTTTGATTGGAGCATTTTCAGTTTCTTCTGTCAAGGGCCTAGGAATTGCCATTAAGGAACTATTAGAATGGAAGCCAGTTTACAAGCATCCCCTGGTCTTTGTTTTGCTGGCTGTGCTTGTGCTTTCAGTGACTACACAGATTAACTATCTCAACAAGGCACTGGACACCTTTAACACATCTCTTGTGACCCCCATTTACTATGTGTTCTTCACATCCATGGTAGTGACTTGCTCTGCCATCTTATTCCAAGAGTGGTATGGCATGAAAGCTGGAGATATCATCGGGACCCTGAGTGGGTTCTTTACTATTATCAATGGCATCTTCCTTCTACATGCTTTTAAAAACACTGACATTACCTGGAGTGAGCTGACATCTGCTGCTAAGAAAAAAGACCTCTCTCTGAATGACAGTAAGAACAATTATGTCTTACTAGAGAACATGGAGTATTTAACCCCAGGATACAATGATGATGTTACCTTGTTTAGTAGAACTGATGATCAAGGTCTCTAAAGACCCTGAATTTTAACTAATATGAGAGTTAGAGATGAGAAAAAATACTTGCTGCTTGAAAGAACTGCTAGGAAACTTAGCATTTTTAATTAATTTAGATGTGAGGCCAAGTAAAAATGCCTTCATTTTGGCCATCAAATTTGAAAATCAAGTTTTAATCCTCCTCCAGAAGCCATTTCTGCTTCCTTTCATTTCTGCAGGCTTTGAAGTATTCCCTAAGCACGAAAGAAGTCAAAGAGTTATACTGGGCCGGCCCGGTGGCGCACTGCTACAGTGCGCCGCTTGGGAGCGCAGCGGCGCTCCCACCAAGGGTTCGGAGCCCACATACAGACCGGCCTCTCACTGGCTGAGCGAGGTGCGGGCGCAACACCGAGGGTTGCGATCCGTTGCCGGTCACGAAAAAAGACAAAAAGGAAAAAAAAAAAAAAGTCAAAGAGTTATATGTGTCTCAGGATAATCTTTCTTTTGGTCACAATATATTTGGCTCTGCCAAGTGGCTCTTCATTTCTTTGGTGGCTATTCTTAGACTCACGATAATTCATAGATAAAGTTAACTATGTTCTGATAAGGAGAGTATCAGTCACCATTCTCTGATGAGTCATAATTTCAAATTATTAAAACTGAAAAGTGAGATCACTGGTGCTTTGTCCTCCCTTCTGCACTTCCTCCTTTTTAAATAAGATAGCTAATGGCTAAAGTGTTAAAAAAAAAAATTAGATCTGCTTTGGAAACCTATTCCTTAGTGGGTTAGAATGCACAAGATACACCCCATCATGAAGAGCTTATAAACTGTAAGTTATTGACAAATCATAGGAGTCTATCACCAATTAAGCTGGAGGATGGAGGGAGTTGAAAAATACTTTAGACCTCAGCTAAAGGAAACATAATCTTTTTTTCTTTTCACAAAGCACAAACACACATAAATGTGTTCAGAGCTTTTTAAACTCAGACCTGGTTGACATAATACAAAACAGAGTTTCTGGACAAGTCTGAATTTATCTTTGGGGTTACTTATATTCATTTTGTTCCTTTCTTTGACTTTTATCCCAATGGTTATTTTCTTGTTGATGTAGAGATTTTTGTAAAATAATGGCTACATAATTTCAGGATTATATTACACAAGAAAAATCTTTGTGAAAAACCTGAAAAATTATCATAATGAACCTCTTGAAATTTGGTACATTCCCTTATTAAAGAAATCATAATTAGTTGCTGTCCTACCACAGTAAGTAGCAGACTGTCTTTTTTTGTTAAATTTCATTCTGACCATGTTTTCCATGCAGCTTATTGACAAGTGTTTTGGGAGAATAGGAAGGAGAATTAACTTCCCGGAAAACAAAATACTAAGACCTCAGCAGCTACTATAGGAATATATCTTTTGCACATTAAAATTTTCAAAAAATTTTTCTGTCTCATTTCAAATGCATAGTAGGAATAACATTTTTGGTGGTCTTTAATGTTTATGGAAAGATTTCCTATCACTGATTTTGTGGAAAAGAAATTGGCTATTTCTAAACTAAACTTATTTTTTTCAAAACAAAACCCTAACTTTAAAAGTTGTCACTTAAAAAAAAACTTTCAGGTTGACTAGGTTTTTCCTGCTCTAACATCAAATGTTTTTAGTTTTGCTTTTTTGTTTTTAAGGTAGCGCAAGACTCCGCAGGGTGATAGTAAACTCTATTATTCCAAATTCTATTAAAATGACTTCAGCATTTCCCCAGTTCTATTGAACGATGACTGAAGTTCATAGTGACAACCTGAAATGACTGCAAAGTCCTAAAGTGCCATTATAGTTTCTGCAGCATAGTTTCATGTTAAGTGTGATTCGGTACATTCTAGGGTTTTTTCGGTTTGTTTTTTGTTTTTGGTTTGGTTTGGTTTTGGCAGCTGGCCAGTACAGGCATTGAACCTTGGACTTCGGTATTATCAGCACCACATTCTAAAGTTTTCGAAAACTGATAATCCATGGAAGATCCATGGGTTGATACCTCAGGTCAAATACGTGTTTACTCTGTCGATTTTACTTAACTTGTACGAGGGTAAAAGTTCATGGAAAAGTAGAATTAAAAGATAGTATGAATCTTGCCATGAACTTTTCAAGGTACCCTTATATATCAGATATATAAGCTATGAACACAAGTTTGTAGAAAAAGTATCTCTTGAAAAGGTAGTGTTTGAGAATTACAGAAATTCTTTTAAATTTTTTCTTCTTAGTATTGAGAATTCTATTGGTTTCTCCGGGACACCTTCTTGGTGAGGAAACTAATGGCATTTTTCTTAACATCCAACCTGAGCTGTGGTGGTTCTCTGCTCTTGCAAATTTAAATTTCAGAAATTCCTTAAGTGTCACCTGTTACATAGTTTTGCCCTTGGTACATTGTGCCCAGGTCTAAGGTTCCTGGATTGGAAAATGAACTGGAGTTGACATTCTCATATATGCCCAGGAAAAAGATTAAGAAAGATTTAATGCATTGAAGTATATTGAGAAACAATGAAAAATTTGAAAAACTCTCTATATAAACATCACTGGTGGGCATATGCATTAAAATGAGTTACTGCAAATCTAACACTAAAAATTAATTTTTCCCAAGTAGAAAGATCTTGTCTAAGGAAGAATAAAATGCTGATCCCTATATTCAGACTAACTATGTTAGTCTTAGCTGGTGATTTCATATGTATATATTTATATATTTTTTTAATTTTTTGTCATCATGTAGATATCTGCTTAAGATATCTATTTATTATGTGAATATCTGCACATGTCATTAAGGATTATAAAGTTGTGCTCACACACGACAAATTGAAAGCTTTTCTTAGTTCTGTAAAAATAAGTTTCATTTTATTTTTTGACTTACAATTTTATTCTTAAGTCAGTGGTTAATGTTTTATTTTTAGTCCAAATTGTAGAATGTTCATGAAACTCAGATTTAGCAGCATACAATTAACACCTATTTTTAAAGTATTAAATCAAATACATGGAAAGCACCTTGCATCATGCTTGATTTAATAGGCACTCAGTAAAATTTAGTTATCTTTGAATCAGCACTTGAATCCTTATAGTCTTATTACTGAGAGGTAAGGACCATCGAGTGCCAGTTTTCATACATTCTTCATCTTTTCTACATTTGTGTCACATTAGCTCATTTTAAATAATCCAAGTGAATTAATCCAATGAATTTTATTATATTATCTCAATACTAAATTATTTTAACAAAAATATTTTCCTTAATAAAACCAGTAAAACTGAAGTAAATGTTATTTTCACCTTCCAACAAAGCTTTGTGGAAAAATAATTTATGTGAATATATGTGCAGTGTTCTCAAATATTTTGAATAAACTCTATGTACATGAAATTTTATATTTTTCAAATGTTTAATAAATTCTGTTTATTTTAGAAAGTTTACAAATTTTAAATGTTTCTGCATACTTTTCATTTGCAATAAAATTGGTTTAATTATGCTTTCTAGAGTTTAATTTCTAGTTCTATAGAAGTTTAGAATATGTAATGGCAAAAATATCCCCATTTTGTTTTGAGATTTTTTTTTAAATTCAAGGTTTAAAAAAAATCTGCCTGAAGTTAATTTTGCATTTGTATTTTCCTTGAAATTGAAATTTGTTTTTAGAAGAAGGCTCTCTACAAAACTATCTGCCATATAACAACTCATTTGGCACCCAAACAAAAGAAACTGTCTTATCCTTCAATAATTTTATTGACAAAATAGGAGCTTAAAGCAGTTGGTAAATGAAATCTTCCCTCACTCTAATAATTTTTTTTTTAATATTATAAAAATATTTGGTAGCATGCTTTCCAAACCCTCAGTAATGAATTTCCTTCCACCCGTGTAGAACTGAAGCTTTGCTTCTGGTATTAGCCACATCATTATCTTTGTCAATTTCCCTCTTTTGGTTTGACTTCATGTTGGAGAACAACTGTTGCAGAAATGAATGGTCTAGGGTACAAAGGACCTCTTTCTACCTGTGTCCCATTCCCTCCCTTTCCCAACATTTTATAAATGAGGACACAATATACTATTCCTTAAATCACAATTACTTAGAGCCAGAATGAGGACCAAAACCCAAGCCTCCTAGGACCCCAAGCTGCTCAATCCACAGACCACAGACATATTTAAGGAGGGTTTGGTGGAGTCACTGTGGGTGTAAGAACAGCCCATCCACAGCAGAGTTAGAAGAAATACAGTTTTCTCAGCAAGCTCAGTTTGTGTATACAAATATTTTAGCACACTGGCTGCGGCTTAAAGGAAGCCTCTAAGAGTTCAACTTAGGTTACAAAGATTTTTTAACAAAAGAGCAACATATTTTTCCCAATTGAAAGCTTTGATTGGTTGGAGGGAAAAAAAAAACACTTTGAGAACATTGACTACCTGAGCCATCCTTTTCCCCTACAGTTACAAATCCATAAAAAAAACTAGAGGGAGAACTGAATCTGTCTATAAAAGCCATTAGTATAGGAGAAAACTGACTGAGAAGACATTTTTGTTTTTATATGTAGAACTTCTGCGGCAGTGGAGGGGGAGGGGACATCCCCAAATCTCTGCAGGCCAAGCTCTTCCCAGGGGCTGACACTTTGTCACCTGCTCCAGAACTCTAAGTTCCCGTCAGCCTGGGGTGCTTGTCCAGCCTTCAGGAGATCAGATCTCATTCCAGCTTTCTCCACTGGGACACTTGCTAGACCACAGTAAGGTCTCCTTTGCACCCAGCTTCGTGTAGGCCCAGCAACTACTGGACTCGGGGAAGCAGATAGGCAGGGCTACTGGTGGAGATAAGGGAGCCATACTCTGGTCGCCATGTTCTCAGAATTTCCTGCCACATTCTGCCTTCCATGATGTAGCCAGTAACTTCTGACTGCCAGGAAACAGCATGCAACTCAGCCTAGCCCAGAAGTTTGTGGATTGCTTTGTGAATGCCGTCTATAAGGGCTTACCCACCAAATACAGGGCCCTAGTTCTTTAGTCTCTATGGAAAAAGCCTCTATATCACCCCTACAGTGGATTCTGGGTAATAATATGTGGCTCCTCCCTGAGTTAATTGTGCCTATCAAACATCCCAGAAAATAAACTTAAGGACGTCCCATAGCTTTTACCCTAAAAAGATTGTTTCATGGACCAGGAAAGGGCAAAACAGTCCTCCAGCTCAGAAGGCTCCCTGTCTCTCAATTAGCTTTTGCCCTTGTTTTTCCTACTAACATTTCATTGTATTACCAAAAGACTTTTAAATAAA